AACTTTATAGCACTTCATTTTCGGCGTCATGGGTTCTTGAAGTTTTGGTATGGTGTTCTTTCCCTTTATTTATTGCTTCCATGTTAACAGGCTTGCTTCTACCATCTTCTGATCAACAGTTTTGAATTTAAACTGTTTAAACTTTAAATATGCATTACCAGGTAATTCTTGTTGGTTTTAATCCTTGTAGTCATTCTTAGGTATTTCTATCTCGTTTTACTCTCATGCCAATTATATGAAGTATTCGCATACACCAAGAAGGTGCAGTTGGGATATAATCTTGGTAACGTGGTACATGCCTTTGTTTGTGGTTCAATCAAAATTTTATTTAGGTTTTTTTTTTTTCTTTCTTTTTTATTGTTGGCAATGAGTGTTGAGCCTTGACTACTCCACTCAAATAAGATGTAATGCTTGTGTATAAGGCATACATCATCAATGGTCATACGAGTAAAGTTTATTTCATGAATGTGGGACTATCATATGAGCAAGTATGGTATGTTTCTGTATATTCGCATTCATAGAGATATGCATCACAATGTCCCTGACAATTCTTACTTTATTTTGTCAGCAATGCCAAAAGTCTAAGTTGCTTTTATCCCATTCCTCAAGCTGCTGATTGCATTAATCGAGCAGTTGAAAGGGCCAATACTCCAGTAATTTATCTTTCTACAGACGCTGCAGAAAGTGAAACTGATTTATTGCAGTCCCTTGTTGTGCTAAATTGGAAGATTGTACCACTTGTGAAGAGGCCAGCTCGAAATTCAGCTGAAAAATGGAATGCTCTATTATATAGACACAACCTTGATGGAGATCCTCAGGTAAACATGATTTCTTTTCTATTTTTTTAGTTCAAATATACATAACAAGCCATTATCTAATATTACATATACATGTCTTTGTTCTTTTCATTGGATGCATACCATCAATTAACCTAACATTTACAACCCGTTTTAATTTTTTTTTCAATTATTTGGGAAGTATGTTGGGGTTAGAATGCATTTAGTTCAATTAGTTGGTGCACACGTGCGTTGTATGTCAAATATTTTGAATTTTGTAAAAAAAATACATGATGGTTATTGAATTTTATGGGCTCACTTGTTCCCTTGTTAGTGGACAGTTACAGAAAGTGGCACTGTTAACATGGGGTAATTGTGACGCTTAAGATTTTTCTCGTATTTTGGGTTATATGAACTGAATTGCATAAAGTTCAAAAAGGAAAATTGAATTGCATTGCATTTAAAAACTGTAATGTTTTACTTCAGTAAGTGATTAATAGATGGATGACTACTGATTTCTTTGACTTATAAGAAGTTACTACAATAGGTTATTATTGTCTTTTTAGCTTTTTAAGGATAGTATTATCAATTAAGGTTTTTTTTTTTGGACAAGTATTGACATTCAAAAGTAGTATATAGATTATTAGATATATTCGAATATTTATTTTTTAGCGAATTTGGATATGCACTGTGTACCTACAAACGTATACAAATATATGATGTAATTTGGTGATTATTTAATAAAATTGAGTATAAATTCATGTGTTAAATATTAAAATCATCTATAATTAATTTATTCAGATCATAACGAATATTTATTTTAACGGACTCATATATGCACTATAGAAAATAAAATTTTTTGGACAATTGAATTGGATTCGGATCACATTGTTCAAATCGGATTTGGATCATTTTATATTGTTTGGAAAGAAGTTAATCAAAAGTCAAATAATGAATTTATTAGTTCAATTAATACAACTAATAAAAAAATAAAAAAATTTCTCAAAAAATGATATAGTAGACATTATAGAATTTTTGAAGGATAAATAATGAAATCAAAAGTTTTTCACTTAATCCATTTTTATTAGTAGTATAGATTTGCTTCTAGAATTGTCCACATAGTATGTAAGGCGCGCCTTAAATGTTGAGCCTTTGTTGCTCTCTTTTCAAATTTGATGCAAAGCATGTATAATAGGCTGCTATATCTTATTAAATCAGATCTCACCATTATATTTGTGAGGTTACGAGACAATCTTTCCACTGCACCTACAATGACCATATATGCTGGTGTTAATGTAAAAGGATTGAATCTTAGGTTTTTCATTTTATTAGCTTATACCAATCCATAGGCTGTTAAAATAAAACCAAAAATTTTATTTTGGATCATTGCTTCTTTCAAGAGATGGAATTTTTGCATTTTATTTTGTGCAATTTGAGTAAACTTGTGGTCTAAGAAGTACGGACACGGATACGATACGATACGGACATGCAGACACGACATTTTCCAAAAACATAGGACACAAACACGTTATATATAATTGTGTTTTATATATAAAATTATATAATTTATCACAAATATAGTGTTAATAATATATTATTTATAAAAAATTCAGTATTTTATGATAATTATATGTTATCTCTAATCATATAGTGTGAATATTTAGACTAACTTCATCATAATAAATAATTATCAATTTTTTTGTAGACGTGTAGTATACATATATAATTTAAATGATTGTTTTCATCTCAATTGCTCTTTTTCAAATTTTTTTTGCATATTTTACTTTTATTATTATATTTTGAGTACCACTTTAATATGTCTACTCTTGGTAATTATATGTTCTCTCATAGTATAAGATACTTAATAGTCAAATTTTTAAGTTTGTTAATCACATGTCAACAGATATTTGTTGTTTAGTAGTAGACACGATTTAAAGAAGTGTCAGACGCATCACCAAAAAAGTGTCGGACAAATGTCTGAAATTAAAATTTATCATTTAATTATGGACACAGGTAAAAGAGTATCGGACAAGCGTCCGAAGAGTATCGGTGTCCGACACGGATACGTCACCTTTTTGATAGTGTCCGTGCTTCATAGCTTGTGGTACTATAGTGGGTGCCTGAAGGATAAATGATGATAGTCATGCTTCAACCTTGCCTACTCAAAAAGGGTGTGGAGTTAATGACATGGAAAACAGGAGCTGATTTCTTCCCTTTTGTTTCTGTGAAAGAGTGTGGAGTTAATGGCATGGAAAGTAGGAGAATAATTTTTCCCTTTGTTGTTTGGGGAAGAGAACTAAGAAAACTAATTTTATGGGTTGAATACCCCAAAAACACCCAGTGACACAAGTCGGTCTTATGATGGATGATATTTGGTGAATGAATGAATGAAGGCCTTTGGCATTATGTTGTTTTGGGTCAAAATACTCATAGAACTTCAACAATAAGCATGCTAGTGGATTCCTCATGTGAAAACTTTAAGCCAAGAATTGCCAAAGTGGAAACCATTTTTCCACTTCAAACAGGGTGGGTGTTAATGTGTTAAGAGTATTTTGCATGTAAAAAATTAACTTGAGAATTTTGTGGAGTGACATCTTGAGCACTTTGTAATCTTCAGAGTAAGAATTATTGCCAGATACCAATATTAATGTAGTGTTATATGGTCCTTCAAAAATCCCGTCCCCACCCTACAAACACTTTTTGGGAGAAGTCAGGGTACCAGGGCTCTGTGATATACTAGTAGGACTACGGTAAAGGATTGGGGCTGATTAGTAAAAACTTGAGGCCCATGAAGTTGCAATATTTCAGGCTGCATTTTCACTCAGACCCATTGGTGTTTTCCTGGTTTTTTTTTATCAATAACGGATGATCATGCCAACCATGTGTTCTTTGGGCTTATGACTGCACCGCAAATTGGGATATGCTCATACACATCTTGAAACCATACACATTGGGTAAATCAGAGTTCTCTAGCAAGTTGAACTTGAGACCATGACCAAATAAATTTTAAAAGTCTTACCTCCCAAGCTACCATAAACATTATGGGGTTGTCTTACTTCTATTCTTTGCAGAACTTCTTGTCCATTGATTTTTACCCTAGTTTCAACAAGATGCCACTCTCAACTCAAAGTGTATTCACTTTCATTTTGAAGGTGGAAGCTATGCTGGATAAGACCATCTGTGCCTTGTCTACTGTGTTCATTGGATCATCCGGATCAACTTTCACAGAAGACATTTTGCGGCTTCGGAAGGACTGGGGATTAGCATCACCCTGTGATGAGTACCTCTGTCGGGGTGAAGTGCCGAATTTTATTGCAGATGACGAATGAGGGAGATAGATTTGCCCACTTCTGGCCCTTGTCCTGGGTCACCTTTGCTCCAAAATTTTTTCATTGCTGAAAATGGCTAATTTGGCCTGTATTCTTGTGTATGTTTATAGCATAGGAATCTTTCTTATTAGTATACCTCTTTTTTTTCACTTTCTCGAGGCACGTTTGAATGTTATTTGTCTAATGGTCTGGTGCTTGTGAAATTAGCCTCTCATAATAGCTCACATAGATGATCTTTTGTTTTTTTTTTTTTTTCTTTTTCTTATCGTTTGGGTTGGGATGTTTTCTTGATTAGCTGTGGATTATCACTTTCATCTTTGTTTTATTAGTAGTTTTACAAATGATCACAAGTGTAGGATTGAGTCCTTAACGTGCCTTTGATTTGTAATGATAATTATTTCTTTCTAAATGTGGCACTAGAATCCACTGGCAACAGAACAATCCATAGATAAGGACGGTTGGCTAAACACTGGTGATATTGGTTGGATTGCACCTCACCATTTAGTAGTCGAACTTTTAGGCTCGAGTTCAACTCAATTATCACCCCTAACTATAGTTCTTTTGAACGGTATTCTAGAAGCTGAACTTTTGTAATGTTGTCTGTCTTTCAAATGACACTTGGCAGTAACTGTGATAGCCTTTTCCTTTTTTTTCAGCTTGTTTTATTTGTTCTCTTCTTTGCATATTTGCATGGAAAAAAAAAAAAGCAAATAGAGGAAAAACCGCAAAGACAGCAATTACTGAGCCATGCGTAACAATAAGATGGCAATTATCTGCACATGCATCAATTGTTGTACATTAGCAAGGTTGAAAAGTCTTTTTATTCTGAAATTGATTCATTGTAGGTGACCCTTGAAACTTGATTAATTGTATGTTAGGGTCAAGGAAAAGAAATAGAAGAAGAAGAGAGGAAGAAAGAGAGTATGAAACAATATTGTGTAGGGTATGTGTTACCAACACAATAGGACAGTAACATAATAGGGAAGTCGAACAATAGGAAAATAGCACTCTAACAGTGACAAATTATCCATTTTGTCTAGCATCTTACTTGCCATTTATGTAGTCATTAATTTCACTGAAATCATATCTCTCTTGCTATAGGCTTAGGATAATTTTTCCGGTGTTTCTTTGGCAATCTGGTATTTTACTCGATAGGAGCAATATTCTTATCTGGGCAATTGACAGTTTATAGAGAACACTGTTTTGTTTCTTTTGAGTTAATTATTGCGGTCTGGCTAATCTACTAATTTTCTTGTGTTTCTTCAATGGGAGGTACATTCCTTTGACTTACAATTTTCATTGCAGCCATCAAGATGTTCTTTATCCTCCTTGTTTATTTGTCCAAAAACTACTAACTGATTTCATATGTGGGAAAAATAGGTGAAAATGTTGAACCATCAGCTTGAAGAAGCTGCCATGAGAAGTAGTCTGATTCAACATATTGTTGCCATTGGCCAGGTGAAAATTGAGCCATTCTTTTTAATTGGGTTTTTCCAACTCCTTGTTTCCTTAAAGCGTGCTCACTAATATGCGTCCACTGCCAAGCTGAAATTTAACTTATACTTCTGTGGGGTGATGGCATCAATCACTTGTAGGATCAAAGACGACTTGGGGCTATAATTGTTCCGAACAAAGAAGAGACTTTAGTGGCTGCAAAACAGTTGTCTGTCTTGGATTCTGATGCCTCTGAACTTAGCAAGGAAAAAATGTCTACGCTGTTGTATGACGAGCTGAGGAAATGGTAAGACTTCCAGTTCCTCAAGCCTTTGCAAGATTGTATTTTTTTGCTTCTAACTCATATGAAGTATTATTGGTAGGTAAATTATGGTCTTGAAGTTTCAAACTAGAGCTTGGGCCTTTTAAAAGATTAGAAAAAGCAGTTTGGGGTATTGGGAAAGTTGGTGCTACTTGGTGATGATACTAGAACCAGATACTGTCTAAATGTATTCTAGTTTACTGCTGCTGGTTTTTGATAATGTTCTTCTAAATAAAAATAAATCAGCTAAACGATATTGCCATTTTCGTGCAACTGAATTATATTACATAACAGGATATTTGCTTTCCTATCGGATGTTTACACGCATGTTGCCGAATCAGATAAAGTAATCCATCCCACACCAGTTTGCCAAACACACCTATTTGCCGGTTTTATGAGTTTGCCCATTCATAGGGTTTGATAGTGCTGCTGCCAATGAATCATGGCAAATCAAGAAGCCACCAGCAGAGCCACTGCTGCATCAGTTTTCCAGTCATATTTGTTTCTGTTTGTTGGGTGTGTGTGTATATATATATATATACATACATATTTATTTATTTATATGTAGAGAGGGAGAGAGAGAGAGAGAGAACTGATATGTATTGAGAACTCCAAATAACTTCTTCAGTGAGGAAGTGCAACAGAGTAGGGAAGGGCAAACTAATCCAACTTATAGAAAGGAGACAAAAACAACATTTGGCAGGTTTAATTGAAATTGGCGCCTTGTATGTGCCAAATGGCAAGTAAGATTTTTGTGGCCCACCTCAGATTCTGTTTGGTAAAGTTTTTAAAGAATGTGTCCTTGATGGATGAAGTTTATAAGATGACCCCACAATATAATAAAAGGGGGTTCTATACCATGTAGTTTTGACTGCAAGCTAAAAGGTGAAAAATAGAAAAGGAACAATAGTGTAGGATAAGGAGATAATTGGTGAGATGGAGATTATGCATTTGTTACTGCACTTTTTTATTGACCAGGTTTATCATTTTTTGTATGATTGCAGAAGAAAGTTCAAATATTTTGGAAACCCAAATGTTCAGGAAAAGTTGCTCCTTGGCGTGATTTATATTTGAGTAGTTCTTGAGTGCTCTGATTTTGCCACCAGGAAGCAAGACGCTGTAGAATTACAAGCGCATTTTAATAAATGATACTTCTGCTAATAGTTGTTGAGATTTCTTTTTATTGTGGCAGTGTTATTATTTTATCCAAGCATTACTGCAAGTTCCATATAGCAAAAACATGATTCAAGTAGTCACAACTTCCTCCTTGGAGGCTACTAGCTGCTAGTCGAGCGTATGAGGCCAACATCTTAAATAGCAAATCGTCTAAATTGATGCAATTTGGAATCATTGCTTGACTCGAGTAATGCTACTTTCTCCAATTTCTTCGCAACATCGACTTTGAAATTATTCCGCAATACTAGACTCAAGAGATGCTACTTTCACCAAATTTGTACCCCGAATTCTCCTCACCGATTGATGTGACACATTCTCTACCATCAGATAAGTGCATCCCATTCATTCCTAACAGTGTTGAATGTGTTTTGGATAAAGAGCAGTGTAGGGTTTAGGATGTTGTGCATTCATTCCTCCATTGTCAGGTTGAGGGCAGAAGTCTCTGTAAAATCCACATTTCTAGTGAGTGGACATGAGAAGACTAGATGAACATCTGTTTCAAAGCTTTGATGGCAAAGTGGGCAGAATATATTTGGGATTGGCATTCTTGTTGCTAGGAGGCCTTTGGTTTGTATTCTATCTGTAACCATTTTCCACAGCATTACTATGTGTCTGCCATAGTTTCTTCCTGTCACTTTGATTTAGGAGTCATCTCTGTGACTTTGTCGAGGTGTTTTGGAATCAAAGTTGCTTGTTTTGCTTGGTATCCATGCCATTTAGTCCTCTCTTGGATAGGCTCGGAGTTGATTTTCACTGTCAAGTGTGTGGGCAAACGGGTTTTGGTAGCATAAAAAGGATTGCATAGCATAAACTAGCATGTCCAGGGCAAGAGTTCTGGCTAATTGATTACAGGAAGATAAATTGCAGGGAAGGCAGTAAGGTGATAGCGGGGGATATAAATTCCGTGCATTTTACGGGAGATGCCGGCTATTATAATAAAATAAAATAACAAAACAGATAATAATTACACGTCATGTTATTTACAAAAATATAGTATTGAATAAAAACTTGTGGTACCAAAGTCAGATCCCAAAGGTGAAAGTTGGAAAATGAAAAGTGAGAATGCAACTAAGGATGTCTCCTCCAGATTAAATATTCATTGTAACAGTAATATATGTCAACATTGTTATAAGATTTCGCTAACCAATAATAAAACATCAAATGAGTAAGACAGGGCCGACCCAAGGCCTAGGCCACTTAGTTGGCCGCCTAGAGCCCCAATTTTTACAAAATTTTGAGACCCCTTGTTAAGAGTTTTAGTCATAGGTATATATATTTTGAATAGGCTGGTTTGAGAGAGGCCCAAATTTTATTGATAGGTCCACACTTCAACAATTTACCTAGAAAATTGCTACATTTGCCGACTGTAATAGACTATTAGACTTCCACAACAAGGACAGATAATGTCTCTCTCTCTCTCTGTCTGTGATGGAATTAAGCAAATCTCTCTATATCACTCTACCTCTCTAGCACAAATTACAGGATTCACTCACAGAATTAACGTCACTCTCTCTCTCTCTCTCTCTCTCTCTCTCTCTCTTTCCTATTTCCGTGAAGGTTGAATCTAAACAAAGAAAAAATACAAAAGCTCTCTATTCTATAATCTCTTGTAATTCAACAAACTATCAATTAATTGATAGTGATCAAGATTCAAGGGTCAGAATTTTTTAGGCTCAATCTACTATATTAAACTAGTTTGTTTAATTGTTCTCTCATTTTTTATTAAAAATTTAATATAAATTTTTAGAAGTTTAGTGTGCTTAGAATTTTAATATGTTGATTTCATATTTTTGATATTATGGTTTATTTAGAATGTCTCTTTTGTACAAAAACTTAAATGCTTGAATCTTGATAGTTGATTTCTGCCCTTGAATTTTGATGTTGTGAGTTTTGTGATAAAGCCAAATGTTTTGCTCTCTCACAGTACCAGATTGTGTTGTTCTTTAACTTTTAATTTAATTTTTATAAATTTTCTACTATAATTTTTCATTGTTGTAACTGTAAGTTATATAATTAGTATGTCTATTCAAAAATATGATTTTAGATGTGAAAAATGTAAAAAGAAGAG